GAGAGAGAGAGAGAGAGAGAGAGAGACTATTTGCGTGTCTTATTACATATGTCCACCGGGGCGAAGCCCGGGTAACCAGCTAGTTTTTGTATATTATATTCTGTTATTTCTGTTCAATCTAATGTTTTTTGTATTGTTATACCACAGAGTTGTTAGCAAAACAGAAAAAACATATTTCTTGACCTTTCCCGCTGTTTACACTTTTCTCTGTAAGCCTTTGTAAAACGGATATTAAAAAATTAATAACTTTTTATCTAAATTGTGAATCGATTTGAAATTTACTCCCGAACTTTGAAAGAGAATACAGAATATATGATATTAAATTTTCATCAACTTCGTAGCATTTTGACTAACTATCCAGAACACTCCCTGGTCGAGCCGAGAACTCTGCGTTGACGGTGGCGACGTACCGTCGCGGCAGAAATAAGAACTCTCTCCAATGGAGAATTCTGTCTTGTGACATGTTGACAACCTATTTTGTTGTGCGTGCTATTTCTTTATTATTCGCTCTGTGCTTGTGCTCTAACGTTTAACGTATTCGTGAAAGTCGTAAAATTGGCCGAAAAGTAAGATTTGCATGCGGAAGGAACGTTTTCACCTCCTTTCGATAGTCGTTAAACGGCTGTTTTTCCCGTATGTTTAGGCTTCGTTTTATGGCTGTTTGTTTATTGTCGAGGGAAAAGGGTAGTTTTCGGCCAATTTCGAAAGTGTTCTGAAACGATCTATAGTGATGTTTTATTGAAATGTCTTTTTATTTGAAAATGGCATGCACAACAAAATTGGGTGTTTTCCTCGCCTCGATAGTAAGAATCCAATATGGCCGCGGTGACTACCCACTTTTTTTTAGGTATTATAAAGTAACATTAGTTCTAAGTTCTAAAGCCCGGTGTCCACGATGCAAGAACTGTGTCCAAGTTTCGATTTAAGCCAATCAATTTGCAGCTCTTACAGAAAAGTAGCAGTTTCATTGGCTTAAACCGAAACTTGGACACAGTTCTTGCATCGTGGACACCGGGCCTAAGAGAAGCAATTTGCTGATATGTGTATATATAGACAGTACACATATGTAGGCGGGGAAGGGGTGGTAGCCCCTCTTTCGCAAGCAGGGGTGGGTAAAGGTGGACTTCGGTTTGCCTGGAAAGTTGAAAAGTTGCGTGGATAATTTCTCTGGACAGCGTTGTACTTTCCACGCAAAGCAAAGTCCACCCAACCCCATCCATCCCACCTCTGCTTACAAGGCGAAAAGAGGTTATCATTGTACGGTTCGGATTTATAACTTTCCAGGCAAACCGAGGTCCATCTCCACTCACCCCTGTCCGGCGCGATAGCCTCTTTCCCGCCTACATGTGTATTGTCTATACACACACATATATCAGCAAATTACTTCCTTTAGCAAATTACTTCCTGAAAAAATAACATATTACAGCATATACAAACTTCAATTGTCGAACTTCAATTTGTTATTCTAAACTTCTTTAAATTAAAAATCATAAAAAATACTTATGCTTTCCTCAATAATTAAAAAAAATTCTGTTTAATAGTTTTTGAAAAGATAATTCAAACGTTTAAAATTGATATTACAATAATTTAATCTTTTATCTTATTGTTAGATTAAGAAATTACCTGATCCTGACATTTCTCAGTTTCTTCCGATTATTTTTTAATACCTTGACTGTTCTCAGCTTTCTCTGACCGCTAACAACAACCCCGTAAGATACTTGATGGAATTTGTAATTTGTGAATCTTATTACAGTACCCAAGCACATATATTAACATTCGAAATATTTCAGTATGATATTTCAAATGAATGGAACAGAAAATTAATTACAATAATTCATGTCATATATTTCCAATATTGGAACACAATAAAAATGAAGAATTATTTACTTTAATTTCAATTAATTAATTTACTTTGATTTAATAATATTATTTACTTAGTCTAAATATTAAAATAAACCATATATATATATATATATATATATATATATATATGTGTGTGTGTGTGTGTGTGTATATATATATATATATATAGTATACATCTGAAATATTACGCATATATCGTGGCGTGGGGTAGAAACAAAATGTGAGAACGGGAAATATGCGGTGCAACCAGTACCTACATTGGCAATCAGAAGAAAAGATTTATTTGCTAATCATTTGTATTTCACAGTATCATGAATAAGAAGTTACAAGAGGTTTTAAGAAGCCCAAAGGAGTTCAATGTTACAATCACAAAGAACTATGGTTCGGTCGATATTGTGAGTCATCGAAAGAGAGAGAGAGAGAGATTACATAAACACTGCGATACTAAAACAAACGCTTCTTCGTCGATCTCTTGTCAATCTTAAAAAAAGAAATGTCATGATTAGAATGCCGAAACGAAATCCAGCTTCTACTCTCGCGCTTGTTCTTATACGTATCTTCCTTTCTTTATTTGAATTATAGACAATTCATAATTAAAATATCACAATTTCACCGTACTCGTCTAACGTGAACACTTTGGCACTTCCGTTCTTTATTACTTTCCAACTTGGATACAACCTTACAGGTGCAGCCGAATTTCATCCCCTTTTTTTACATATATCTACATAATGTAGTAAAGCATAAGTCGCTTCTTTGATTCGTATCCACACTCCGATAAATGCAAAGATAATGTTTTTCTTAGTAAAAATTTGATAAAAAGCCGATTGCTTGTCCATCAGTCTTTCTAACTTTCGATTAAAATTGATCCTTTTAATTAAAGCTTAAATACACAACATTTTACACACAATCGAATACAAAAAAGAAATTTTTGTTATCTCTGCATTTGCCTTTCCAGGAAATAATAATGGCGTAAAAAATAGTACAAATGCAAGTTAGTAGTAAATGCAAATAAAATGATTTGACAGAGATATATAATGTTGCTGCGCTGCGTAAATGCGTACACATGTCTACAGATATAAAAAATTAGAAATGTAAATTATAAAATAAAATAATGGAACGTTCGCTTATTTATATCGCTCAATCAAAAGTGGTCGATGATAACAGTAACGTTCTCCAATTATCCCCGGGAGTGTCGGGTCAACTCGTACTCATAAAAATTCACCCACGGCTGCTGCGGGTCCTTAATATTCGGTGCCATAGGCAACTTATGTATATCAACAAATATATTACTATAATTTATATACCGACCTCGCGTTTTTCTTTTTTCAGATATTTCATGAAAGAAGGAGTTTCATGAATTGTTACATTTTTACGACTATCCTAATATCATATACATATACAGATATGAGTTTATTCTACTTTTTACAATAAAGATCTATCATTAAAATCTGTATAATCTTCTTGCATGAAACGGAATACTTCGGCAGGTAAAATAAATTCGGAAAGATACTGGTAACATAGTGTGACGCGACGATGATAATAATGATGCCAATAATGATTGACAACATCTGATGCAAAGGCTCGCAATGTTTTACTACGAGATGTTTTCCACTGATCCATCTTATTGTTAGTGCATTTCAGACTCCCAAGGATTCGTTCGCAGTAAAACCTCACGTACCTCCGCTATCTAATGATAATGACGACAATGGTAACGATTATGATGATAATTACGATAAACACTATAGAGGATGTCCCAAAAACTGGCAGTTTATCTCAGATGTTACGTGGAAGGAGTAGAGAAGCTGAGAATTTTGGAAGACTTAAGCTGCCATGCCACCATGCCAAATGAATGAAAAGATTTGCGAAACTCTATAACACAGAGCTGTCCTTGTATCGCGTTAAACGTTACATAACGAGTCTGACTATCTTCATCTTGAACCTAGCATGACGCAAAAATTATCGATACGCTCTTGACATTCAACCAACAGTCTCACCCGAAAGGAGAAGCGCGATAATCCTGGGACACTCTGTATAGGTAAAATTCTTTTTTTAAATAGTTATATAACATATACATACTATACGTGTTTGTGTAGGTGTGTATGTATTTGTATGTGCGTGTATAATTTTATTTGCGCGCTTGAACATTTTCCTCTATTTTTTTTTCATAATACTTAATTTTCGTCCGAAGATCCGCTAGAACTTTCTGGCATGGTGTTGAACCAATTTTCACGAGCTCCGGTAATCCTGGATAGAAAAACACTTTAAAAATTCATTTAGCGATTTTTTTTACGTGTGATAAACTCTAAATATCAACAAACATTTTACGCTTGATAAAAATGTAAATGCAAAAAGAAAAGTTTTTCGTAACTCTAATAGTTCTAAAAATATTATATTAATAGAATGTCTACCTTGTACGTTGGCGCGTACTCGTCGGCAGTGTAAGTGAAGTTCTATAATACTGTGGTGTGGCACTTGATGCTGCTTCGTCCGGCCTTCTGTGCAACGTCATGGTTTCGTGAAGAGATGTAGCGAGTTCGTCCTCATTATCCAAGTAATAGCGGGAACCCGTCGCGCTCTTGCAGTTCTCACACTCACTTCGATAATCGTCCGTATCGTCGTGTAGAGTGGGTAACGCTTGCATACTGCAGGTACACGTCACCGATTCGAAGCTGCCGCTCGCATTGATCTCGTTAGCCACGCTCAGCGAAGGCTGCGATAGAAGGTCGTAATTAGTAATGTAAATGTCTCAATGTGATTTGTATTACGGAGAATTGTATGTTTTTATACCGTGTACTCGCGAGTCCGTTCGGATACATTTGCCGTGTCCGCGGGATACGTTTCCGATTGCGCCAGACCGGACGCCGACGCCACAGAGGCGTCCGTGTAAAACGCATCTGAGTCTTTGATGCTTTTGTAGCCTCCCGAGGTTGCGACTACAGCTGCGGACAGCTGTACAGGACGTGACAGGCTCTGGGGCGCTGCGATGCTGCTCGGTGACAAGCGGAGATAATCTCTCGCCGAGCAATCTGTCAGGACATCCTTCGCTCTACTGGCGACGCAAGTCAACGTTCGCGGAATCGTGCGATGGGAAGACACGTCCGAATTCGACAGAGTCGCTGATATCGTGAATGCGCCGCCACCGTTCTGGCGCGAGAATATCGTCGTGTGCTGACGATAGCTCTTAGGTATGGTGGAATGCGATATCGATAGCAACGGTTGCGTACTGGCGTTGATCACTGCGGAGTTTTGACTGTCGTTGAAACCTGTCATGGCGACCGACGAAACCGGTAGATTCTCATACGTGTTTGTCCCCATTGTAAAACTCGTGGTGGAAGTGCTCGTGTTCAGACCAACGGTGGACGACGCGTTGCTTTGGCTTATTGGTCGATAACCAGCGTACGCGCTGGGACTAGACAATGGTCTGCTCGACGAAGACATCAAGGGCGTGTGTATGTTACTATCGTTGGACGACGCCTGCGGATTCGCGGCGTTCAAGTCGTTTTGCGTGTCCGCAACAATTGCCACGCTTGCGTGATTGTTACCATTTGGCATATAATTATCTGAGAAGTTCATCGACAGCAGCGTGTGTGGATTCATCGATAACAATGCCTGTTCCGCCCTCGCGGCTGCGATTGCTTCCTCGTAGGGCGGAGGCGCCTCGCCACGCGGAAAGTAATTGCTGTCAGGTGGTTTCCACAGGGAGTAACCCGTCCCGCAAGGTATGTCGTCCATGGGAACCCCATGGGGTAACCCGCCTCTGTCCAAATATCCCATATTACCTAAGCTTCTTTGGTCCTCTCCAAGTTGTCTGTTTTCTCGACCTGCCACACAAACTAAGTGCACAAAATACAGTATCAACAAAAAATTTGGACGTACTGGGAGTAAATGTAAAAGGTTTGAAACTAATTGACAAAATTAATCATTATGACAGTTTCTTCGACACGATTGATTGAAACACAAAATATACCTTAGTATTCATATCAATAAATGACAAAAAAATATTACATAACTTTTACTTTCTACAGTCTATTGTGGCCTATAGAATTAAAAACTGTTTTTGTCTATGTAACCTCCACAGTTGCGTTTTTATTTTTGGCATTTTATTAAGAAGTTTTAAGAATGTTTCACCTGATATATTTTTCCAAGCCATATGTAGTGCCTAGAAAAATTATTTTTCATGTTTGGGATTAACTTTTCATGCATCGGTCCAGTTTATCCTATAATAGTTATTCATTGTATTCATAGTCAGATCTTATATTTAAGACCGTCTTAAGCACAATCTTCAGATGTTATAAACCAATTACAGGCCGGTATTTATAGTAGGATCTTATATTTAAAACCGTTTTAAGGGTCGACAGGAGTAACACTACCGACCTCTGTCGGGTTGCTTA